TCGGTGGTGTGAGAACGATAAAAGGTGCCGAATCAAAAAGGCCGACTGCTCGTTGCATCGGTGCTCCGTTTCGGTGTGCGACAAAGAGAGGAAGGACGAAGTGACAGGTCACGTCGATAGAAAGAAAACAAAAAGAGAACGACGCTAAAAGCAGGTACTAAACGACAAATTATTCCTTAAATTAGGGTCGAGCCGGGAGTTCAGGGAGCGCGAGAGCGCCCGGGGAAATGCATCGATTGTTGCGAAGAGAGACAGAGAGAGAGAGAAAGGAATAAGGATACACTTGTCGTCGCTCGCGTTCCCGAGATCGGCGTCTCGAAAGCACGTGTCATCGCCTTGCGTCTTCATCTCGCAACCCCCTTCATTTATACCCTGCGTATACGTGCGTGCGTGCGTACGTTCTTTTCGCGTCTCTCTCTCTCTCTCTCTTCTCTCTCGCCGCAACTCTGAAACTCGCCGTCTGCGTTTACGCGCGCGCTCGTACTTGCGTATATATACGAGCCGCTTTTTCGCGCGGGAGGGGTCACCCTCAGAAACGCGCGCAGGGGCGGCGCAGGAAGGGGGCTCTCATAGAGAACTCGCCGGGTGCGAGAGAGAGAGAGAGAGAGGCACACAGGGACCGAGGAGCCGCGCTCGTATTGATCGGCCCCGGCCACGCGATTTTCACGATCCGTCGCCATGGCCACCTGGCCACCGGCCGAAGATCGTATCTCGCGACGTACGTGCTAATCGAACTTTAACCCGCGAGGCCGCTCGTCGATTAGACGCTTAGGCGCAACGTCCGTCCTTGGGAGTCTCGCGACATTTCTCGGCCTACAGAATTTTTTTTTTTTTTTTTTTACTTTATATACGAATATTCTTCCGTATGCTTTTCGGTTTGTTGAAGATTAGTTTTAATTTAATTTAATACGACTGATTGATAATTTGATTATTACTGTATTTCGATTATTAATAATAATTGTCGGATAATTCGAATGAATAGTGTTGTTTAACGAAAAATTATAATTGAAGTCGCAATTCAGGGCAGTTATAAAATTCTTGTATATACGATGATCTAAATAATCGGATGTTGTTATCTCTTGCCACGCGATAGGGACGCTGCTAAATTGAAATAACAAGGTAGCATTTACCAGAATAAAACGGTATTTCCGTTCTATCGATTTCGCCAGATCGATAATCCCGGGCTGTTTCGAAATAACTCGTCTAGTTTCCCTTCGTAACTTCGATATAAGACTCGCAAAAATGTTATTTATATAATTACTTTTAAATGACACCTTATACTTGTGAAATCTGACAATATACATATATACGTGCACAAGTATAATCAAACACACATGTATGTAATTTCAATCGAAGCGTACAAATATAATACACAACAGCTTTTAGAAACTATTTCGAATTATAAACCAATTTTATTAAAAAATTGCATAAAATTCTATTATTTAAACTATATACTGTTTAGCTCATTATGAAACACACGATTGATTTTATATTAAAATTGTTTGATCCCCCGCCGGACAAAATCCCTTCGTAGGGCGCGTTTCGCCGGCATTATATCCGGAGTTTCATCGGAGGGTTGCCCCTCTCTTTCGGTGCGTGCACTTTTGCGCGTGCTCGCGTATTCACGTCCATTGTCATCCGATAATGAGCGGAGCGGAGATACATCTAAAAATTGGATCGTTGCCGCGCGAACTTTCCCGACCCGCGACAATGTGGCCGGCCAACTCGGCGGCTCCTCTTATGCCTTCGGTATTGTCGGGTCCGAAAATATATCGCGATGGCGAACGCCGAGCGCGGATCGATACCGAGGAAGATGCCGGCTTACGATAAGCGGCACCGCGACTTTTCAGCCTTTGTGAGCGGCGCTTTTATCGCTTGCGTTCGCAAGCGAAGGGAACTCGAACGAGAGAGAGGCAAAAGAAGAGAATAATCAACTGTTTTCTATTTGACAGAGTTTGTAAAGTCATTCCCCGTAAGACGCAAAAAGTAACTAACATCAAGCTTCGAGTTCTGGTTTTTGTCTGCAAGTTTTTTTTATTAATTTTATTTCAGAAGAATTCATTCGGAGAAGATATGTCCTAAAGTTTTTTTAACAATGTTTAATAGATGAATTTATTATCAGCCTTTCTCGAAATTTCATACATCGGACGCGTTGAAGTAATTTGAGATTATCTGTCGATGATTCACGCTTGAAAACTGACAATGAGTCGTACTTCTTTTGCCATAATGTGTTTGCAAAGTCATCGTATCCAAATTTATATGATCAAGAATCTCGAGTATTATCCATTTTTTCAGTTAGATTCTTTCACCACAATATTTGCGATTGTAAATCAGTTTTCTTTAAATAATGTAAATCTCTTGTATTTATACAAATTCCATAAATTTTTTTACTCGAATAAATTGAGAAGCATCTTTCTCAATTTTATTACAAAAATTTAAAAAAGTATGACAAATTGAATCGAAAGGCTGTTTAAAACAGTATAAATTATTTATTTATTATCAACTACAATATATATTTATGATAATGTACACAAATTTTTGATACATATTCATTTAATCGTTTCTATATATTCGCGAGATACACAATCTTTTTAACTTGAGACTCGTATGCAAATTAATAAGACACGTCAAACCGCTGACCATCAATGCATTCAATGCATTACACGAGGGAAGCATGACATATCGCCGTCCTGTACAATCGTACTTCCACGTATGATATCGTACATATTCAGTCCATTTCGAAAACTCGAAGGCCGGTCATTCTCCGCACGCGCATAATAAAAGCTATCTGTTACCTCACGACATCACGGACAACTCGTTTTAGGGTAGCCACGAGTCACAGAGAGAAGGGAGGCTTTAAGGACAGCTGATCGTTACGCAGGAAGGAAAAAGGGAGAGGAGAACAGAGGCGCGTGTAGAGAAGGGAGCTTAAAAAAAAAAGGAGAAAGAGAGGGAGAGAATTAAAATATACGGTAGCTCGTGCCGACTGATAAATGTGTCGCCGTAGCTCTGTGTGTGTGTGTATATTTCGCCTTAACTATGAACACCATAGCGTCACCCTACAGTAGCCACAGTAATCCCCTTCCTCGCTCTGCCTATCTCTTTTTCTCTCTTGTTCTCTCTTTGCGCCCTGGTGTCCAAGTGTACCGGGTGTATCACTCGAAAAAACCGTCTGGATCGTCCCTGATCGATCTTGGATTCATGGGCGTCCGCAGAATTTTTCCCAGCAGGGAGTATAATTAATTTTTTTGTTTTCTTTATTTTTTTAATTTTATTTTTTATTTTCATTTTTTTATATTAAATATGTAAATAAATTTTAGTGTTTATTCAAAAGGAAAACAAATTCTTAATTTTTTTACTGATTCCAAGAATTGGCAAATGTCTATAGACTTGGATTTGTCAATAATTATTCTAGCTTAACTTGAAATTATCTATTGTTATTTTTTGCGTAATTTTTGCAAATTTTATGGAGAATTTTATAAAGCGCATTTTATTGTATCTAGTTGGGAAGTAATTAAAATTCGGAATTAAATTCTTCCTAGACGGATAATTGAATGCTCTTGTTTCATTAAAGACATTTGTCTCGACATTTTTATGTTAATGTATTTTCATTTTGAATTCGCATTTTAGTAACGCGATTTCAATTATAGATATAATTCGGAATTAATTGCTTCTAGATGGTAATAAGGTTCTGGATGGCCAACTGCTATTTAAATGCATAATTTACTCAGAAATAGAGCGGGTGGTGCGCAGAAAGCATTTCCTGCTTTTAATTTATGTGTCGGCGAACGAAGGGTTGTGGTTAAAAGAAATTAATAATTCTGCCAGCTCAATGCCATCTCTTTAATTCTCTTCAAATCTCGAATTAAACTTTACGAAAGATTCTTGATATTCAGAAATCTTTTATAACAATCTACTTTGAATCACCATGTATGTAAGTTTATACAGCACTCGGTGTGCTTCGTAGGATTTGGACTCGAAAGGGTCTCCAGCTCTTTAAATGACAACGAACGAGGGTCGTCGGCCCTTTTAAATTATCCGAGCTCCTATCGAACGTTACCCCAAAAGTTCTTCCAACCGTCGTTCGTATTCCCTTTTTTTGCTGGTGTATTTGGAAAGTCATCGTACGTGCAGATTTACACGATCGAATCTCGAGTGTTACAAATTTTTTTCAGCTAAATTCTATTTTCACAATATTCGCAGTTAAATTTTAAATTTCATTTTTCTAATCTGCACAAAATAAAACTTATTGTATTTTTATATCTATACAATTCCATACTTTATTGTAGTAAAATTAAAAAGCATTCTTTTCATAAATTTAGTAATTATAAAAAATAATTACAAGTTTGTTTTTTTTTTTTTTTAGAAAAAGTTAAGCTATTTAGATCAATAATTGACGAGACGATTTATTGATTATCATCTCCCTTTTCATGTTAATTATTATGCAATACATGTACGAGAAAAACTTGTTTGATTTTTGAATTTTTCAACTTATAATAACTGTAATGTCAAAGTTATAATAATTCGCGTCAGTTTTACTTTATAGAATAAAGACACTTATTTTTTTGTGCCGAGTTCATGCGAATAGATTATACAAAAACTCGAGGCCACACACACTGGAGCTTTCAAATGTCAAAGAACGTCTTGTGCATCATTGTTTTGATATTACACGTTTTTACGTCCTTCAGTATTTCGTGTTTACATCGGTGGTGCTATGTAATTTCTTCCACTTGCGACGAACTCGCTGTTTCAATATTTTGAAAGCGAAACTTTCTGGAATTTCTTTTAAAGCCTATAGTGAAATATGCAGACTCGGCGATATCATATAAGAAATCCGCAATATATTTAAATATGTATCGATGACAAACATTTTAACACATACAAGTATCTGTGTTTATATGTGTGTGTGTATGCGAGCTGTTAATATTATTATTATTATATAATTGCGATTATTTATCTATGTAGATTGCTCCAATGTGGTGTATGTGTTCTACTTGCAGATTTCGTACATAGTTAGAGACGATTCGTTAGAGGATTGCAATGATGGCGAACGGAATGGACACAGTCGTACAACAAAACGGAGGATCTACCCTCGGACAGACCTCGCAGGAGGAGTCGAAGACGAATCTCATAGTAAATTATTTGCCGCAGAGCATGACTCAGGATGAGATTCGTTCTCTGTTCTCCAGTATAGGCGAGGTCGAGAGCTGCAAGCTAATCCGTGATAAGCTTAGCGGTAAGCATTCTTATTGTATCCTTTCTTTTCGCGTTAAAGTGTTTAGACTCGAGTCGACAAACATTAAACGCACCGTCTATTTTAAGATTGATGTAAATTTAGTTTTGAGTTCGTTGTGAGTTCTAATCAGATGTGCGCGACGTATCGATATTATAGCAAAATTTTGAAAATTCAATTCTCGTTCTCAAAATGAACTTAAATAATCCTCGACGTTTCTCTTTTTATCGTGATTTTCTTGATTTTTTTATTCGTATAATCAAGTTTGATTAGATCAATTTAAAGTGATACAAAGATTGCAAAGTCGTCGTGCAAAATGAAATTTCGAACATAATAAAATGACGAACATATTTTTAATTTATATCCTCAAGGAGAATGACTTTTTTTTTTATAAAATGATCTTTTTTTGTATTTAATTCTCGAGTACTGCGCATATCTACTAACTCAGTTTGCTTATATAATGCTATCCATAAATTTCTGATCATTTTGCGCAGCCCATATTCGTATCGATCCATCATATCGGATATGCATAATCTTAACGTAATTCGGACCCCTACGTGCATGCCGGGTATATTCCGTGCAGTGGCAAAGACGAGCACGTGTATAGATGTGCGACGCTATTTCGAGCCGCGCGAAGAGAGCGGGGGCGGCGTTTGGTTTGAAGATTTGCCGCTTTATGCTCGACCTCACCATCACGGAATCACAGTACCGTGCCACGTCGTTCGTCGCCACGTACTAAACGTCACATTCGAGACATTTCTTTTCTCGTTTTGCTGAGAAAATCGCAATTAAATTTTTTTTTATATTTTCGTCCTCAATCGTCAATTCGTTCTCCATTGAGAATACAATTGACAGTATCATAATGAGAAAAATTTGCTACAGCGAGTTTTGTTCTCAGATTTATTTTAATAAAAATAATATATAGAATATAATTCATAATGTGCCAAAAAAATTCCTAAAGTAATAATATTTGGTCCAAAATTAACTTTTTGATATATACGATTTATTGTTAGCATTAAGACATTTTGCAGAATAATAAAAAGGAATTGATATTTTATTTTATTCCCCTCGCGCGGAAATAAAGCCAAAAAATAATTCACTCGCGTATTCTCGCGGTGCTCCGATGCTTCAGGCATTTCGCCAACTACTCGTTGATATATTTGCCACTCCGCCATTCATAAAATTGATTTCGACGCGTATCGAGGAAATTAAAGTCGGCATTACGCGTTCCACTATTTCTTCAATGCGATTCTATTTCAGCTAATAGATAGTCGCGACGAGCAGCAAACTTTGAAACTCGTTGGCAACCGGGAGAGAAACGGAGAGAGGAAGTTTAATCGCGTTAAGAGCAAAAGCTATCGAGACGACGTCGGCGACGAAATGTTTCTGTCGCTTCTTTGTCACGAATCATGTACACGCATAGCTCGTATTGATCAATCTATCTGTCGAAGATAAATCCGGTGTCACGAAATATATATACGAAATTTATCGAGCCGCGTGTCTCTGTTTGTAGGTCAGAGTTTGGGTTACGGTTTCGTCAACTATCACCGGCCTGAAGATGCCGAAAAGGCTATAAACACGCTCAATGGTCTTCGTTTACAGAACAAAACCATCAAGGTGAGTGGAGCCTTTAAAATTAATATCTTTTATTCAATATTTCTCCCTTGCGTAATCTTCGTAATAAAAGGAATCCCCATCAAAATTTTCGACAATAGTTCAATAATTTCTTAAAAGATTAAAATCATCATTATATCTCTTAATTTACAACACAAAAAGTGATATTAATATAGAGATTTGTGTCAATGTAATTTCGAATTCAATATTTTTTTTCATCGATATATTCGAAATAATCAATAATCTATTTTTCGATTGTCGACTGGTTTGTAAAGCGATCTGTCCGATTTCTAGAATGCTAAATGCATCTAACGCGAGCGTGTAAGACGGCAATGCAGCAATATAAATAGGTTGGCCTGGATTCGGTTTTATCGCGCGCGAACAAGAATAAAGCGATGATAATCGCGCGAGAACGCATTTTTTGTTCTTACTCCGAGCATATTTCGGCGACATTTATCTCTCGCCGATTAATTCGCGATTATTAATAAGATTGTCGCGGAGGCTGCAAAGCGATATTATATTTCGGGACGCATTTTGTTTCCCTTCTAGGTATCGTACGCGAGACCGAGCAGCGAGGCGATCAAGGGTGCGAATTTGTATGTCAGCGGCTTGCCGAAGAATATGGCGCAGCAGGATCTGGAGAATCTCTTCAGCCCTTACGGCAGAATTATCACGTCGCGAATACTCTGCGACAACATCACCGGTAAGTCCCAATCATGCAAATCAGTCTGTCGATTTTTCTTCGCGAGCTTCCCACAGTGGATTTTCATTACGAATCAATCGTCATTTTTGTCAATTTTTTGACAATCTTGTCAAGTTTTCGATCGCTTGTCAATTTTTCCATTTCACGCGAAATGAATTACCTAATAGGTATATGTGTAAACAAAAATTCGACAGATCGTCGCACGTAATTATCATGTAAAATATTTCTGTGGTTTGTCCGGATTTCTCTTATACCGGGTTTTTTCATCGAGTCAACTTAAATTCGACTTGTTTCACTTGTTTCTATTTTACCCTGAGGCGAAAATTTTCGCACAAGAGTAAAATCGATGTATCTATATTTAAGACAGCGACGAAATTGGAAAAAAAAATTATACATCGATGATTTTAAATGAAAACTATGATGCGTCCAGATCCAGGTGCGTAGGCCATGGGGTTAGAATTATTTGTAGGGTGGGTCGGTGCGCCACATAAATGATAAAAACAACGAAAGTGCGAGTAAATAAATAATTCGATGAAATGTGTGTGATAGCGATACAATAAAAATATTCCAAGCAAGTGAACGAGACCGTAACCGTATCAGTTTCACTTCATTATGTTTTCTTTCGCCTGTACACACACTTTTTCACACGTTTTTCCTCATTCAAAGAGCACAAAGCAACAATTTCACGAGTACAGCTTCGCATATATATGTATATATACATATATATATACATATGTATACGCAACTTTGTTCTCGAAGGGAGCTATGTTCATCTACCGATGAATACCGAATCAAGTGTCCCTTCCCGAGTTATTTCTCGCTTTTAGTTGGTCCTTTCTGGATACTTAATTTGCATTTTTAATTTATCTGTTGCAAACGCCCCTCCCTGGCCAGCCCAGATTGCACGCACAAAGCCTCATGGCCACCGCCTCGATCTTAATTTTGCGTTCCCTGATCGCGCTCACTTTTCACCCTCTTCCGTCCTCTCACATTATCATCTCACCTACGCCGATCGTTCCCGTTATCATTATTACCTCGTTATCCGATCACCAAGCTTGCTTTGTCATCTCCAAGACTTACGTTTGATCGAAACATCGCTTTCGTTTCCCCTCCGTAAAAAGTGAACATATGCGCGATACACCAAATTTTTCCCTCTTTGACACTCACGCTTTTTAATATGATTAAGAAGATGAAAAATAGCGTAATTTACACGCAGTCCGCTCGCCCCTTATTCGCTCCATGTTTCTTTTATTTAAAGCGATATCGCGGTTTTTTTTAACCTTTATTAAAAGGCACGAAGGCGAACATTAGTTGCGAAAGCAACGATAAATAAAGCGTTAAACGATATAGTCAAAGTAGAATGAAAGAGATCTCTTTATTAATGTTTGTTTTTCCATTTATTAGACCTTTTTGATTTTTTGTGACACGTATTTTTTCTTTTTTATATATTATCCATTTATGTAAAAGAAAAACATTTGTAATATTTTCTTATCGATTTGTCAAATGTGTAAATTATTATTCAGATTAACTTATCGAAGTTCTTGCATCTCATACATTGTTGGAAATAATTAAATAAAATTTTACACCATTTGACTGATTGTAACAAAATTTCGCAAAAGTTAAATTAAATTTTTTAGTTCAAGTCGTGAACTTTTTTAAAAAATTTTTTTTATTTTTTACATTTAAACGCGCGATTGTCGTTGCTCTTAATTTGCTTCTTATGTTGCGTCTCTTTCGTTAACCTTTTCACCTCGTCTTCTCGCGAACACGTTTTATCCCCCAAACCGTCGACGAATCAGGGGCGAGCGAATCGCGTGTAGTGCTGCCAGTTGGATTTTAACGAGATATGATTTTTTCCGTTTCTGTTTAGTACGACAGTTTGTGACCGGCGGCGGAGACAATTTGCCCGGTACGTAACTCACAAATCTCTTTTTTCTTTTCCCTCATTACGTCCTTCTAGCTGAAACGAAAAGCAGCCGGGTTCTTCCGATCTGCGATGCGCGCGTCTCTTGCTTGCGCGATTACGATTTTTTTTTCCCTTTTTTTTCCACGTACAGTTTTCTTTTTCTCTTCGTCGTGCACTTCATTTCAGTGTCGCCGTCGTTGTTAATGAAACATTAACGCAGTTGTTGAAGCACGAACGCGGTGCAGTCGAGCATCGGAATCGAAAATCGATTTATACAACGTGCAGGGTAAACATCGTCTCTTAAATATAAAATTCATGTCCGTTTATTAACAGCGACGTCAAAATTAATGGCGTTAAAAAATCTTTAGCGGCAACCAACGACGGCAATTGGCATATTTTGACGAAGGACTTGAAAATTTTAAATGTTGCAAAATGTATTTGCAAAATGCGTTTGAAACAAGATTTCACGACCGTCAAATAGAGATGATGACGAGAGAAAGATGCGTCTTTCTCATTCTCGTCGTATGCAATGACGGAAGACGCGCGCATCCAATGCATCCCTCCGAGCGCCATTTTTGTTTCTTTACGCTTTTGTCATTCGTTATGATTATATGATTTGCTATTACGATCTCTCGATTATATCTAGGTACGTCCACAATGAAATACTCGCTCTTTCTCTCTCTCTCTCTCTTTTTTATTTTTATCACTCTTTTTTTATCTCACTTTCTCATTCTTTTTTTCCTTCGTTTCTGTCTACCCGTTATTAATCAGTAAACCGCGATGATGAGATACAACAGAGAAAGTAGAGACTCGAAAGAAAGACAAAAAGACGTCCACACGACAATAAAATGTCGGTGTGTTTGTAAAGAAACGAATCTGCGCGCACCGAACCACTCGCTTTTTGCGTGTATGTGTGTGTGCGTGTGTGCGTGCGCGTGTACCATATTTTTAAACTAAAGATAAATTAAATTACAACTAACGATCGAATAAACTGTTGACATTTCTCGCGCGCGTATATGCGAAGACACAGTGCAAATCGCATTTTTTTTTTCACCGTTACGATTGATAAGCAATTGTATTCGCAATTTATTGCTATGCGATTAACGATATGCGAGTACACGAGAACGTGCACTGCAATTTGTGAGATGAACGATGTTACTGATGTCATGTTCAGGATGAAGCGTGACAAGTGAATGTTTGTAAAGATATTGATAATACAAAAACGTATTATTAGGTAAAAGTATCTTAGAGCACATTTTTTTCTATGTGAAACCGCTAAATTTTGAGATTAACAATATTTGATATTTATTTGATTTGCACACATTGAATGAATAATTATACCGCTATTAGATTTATTTGAATGTGAATAAATAAAAAAATATATTTCTATTTTAAAAATATTTTTGTTTATTTTATAAAATTCTTTTATGTCTAACTTTACGTAGAAAAAAATAAATATATTCGAAGAAGAAATGAATTTCTTTAAAAACTTGAATGTTGTCTAGAATAACATACTTTTGCTGTCAATATTTTTAAAAATATTTACTTATCACGTCTTACACATCTTGCTCTCTATATATCGATAGCATTATATAGTCTGTCAAACGTACAATGGAGCGATAACTGTCGCGTTATTCAGGAATTATTAACTGGTTGGTAAAGCCAGTCGAAGACACATTAATAATATCGCGTGTAAATAAAAAGAAAATTAACGTAACGTAAAAAGCGGCTTTAAATATCATAGCTTTTTATCTTCATTGATTTTTTCTTTCGCGATCTCTCGTACTATAAAGCCTCCACATTAAACTCTAAAAAAAAAAGGGATGCGACAGAGATCGGATGGGGCCGGAAGCGTCCGACGTCGCGTCTCGCAATAAATAACCAGGATGATTTTGTGTGTTCCGCCGATCTTCTCGGCACCTCTCGAACAGGCCTGTCGAAGGGCGTCGGCTTCATAAGGTTCGACCAGCGCGTCGAGGCTGAGCGGGCGATCCAGGAGCTGAACGGCACCATACCGAAGGGCTCGTCCGAACCGATCACCGTCAAGTTCGCCAACAATCCGAGCAACAACAACAAGGCGATACCGCCGTTGGCCGCCTATCTCGCACCACAGGCCACGCGGCGCTTCGGCGGGCCGATCCACCATCCGACCGGCCGCTTCAGGTACATTCCACTGTCGCCACTATCCAGGTACCTACTCGCCTCTACTCGCTCTACCCAAGGATTCTCTCTATCTCTTTCTCTCTCTCTAATTCTCTGTCTCTGCTCTATCTCTTACTCTCTTTCTGCCCCCCTTCTATTTTCACAGCTTTCGTTAGATTTGTTTTTCGTTAACAATTACTCTGTGCGATCAATCAGTGCGGTCGTTATTAATATTATATATCGATGTTCGGATTTGGTAAGCTCTCTTGATGTTTCTTGGATTAAATACCGCGTTGATCGCGCATCGTCTTCTCGCTTCTCTTCTTTCTTCCTGGAGCTTCTGTTTCTCTATCGATTGGTTTGTCCGATACGATTCTTTTCTTTAGTTATATAGATCGAATTCTCTCTCTTGATTGAGCTATTTATCCACTTGTCCATGGATCTTTCCTTATTCATCCATTTATCTATCCAATTGCCCATTTATTTCGTTACTTATCTATTTATCTATCTATATCTATTGGACGCTACTTGTCTTTTTCCTTCTATTTTCTCTCTCTTGACACACACGCAGACACCGCGCAAACACAAATACTCGGTTAGATCGATCGGTCGTTCATATATAAAACTCGCTTAGAAACTTTGTTATTCTGATAATAACTTGGCGTCACAAAACATAGTAGTTTTTTTGTTATTTTTAATATGACGAGGAAAATAACTGGTACAGAAAATGCACGATGCAATATCATGAGTCGCTTTTATTTGAAAATTTTCATTTAGATGGCATATATTCAATCTATAGGATAATAATTGAAATAATAAATAATAATACAAATTTCATGATAATAAATTAATTATACAATAATAGAAGTCTATCTGTTATATCTATATCGCTTTTTAATTGTTTATTCAGTCACAGCGAGTTGATTAAAAGCAGAGCATGTGATAACAGATATATTTACTGATTGAACGATCAATCGATTGTAAACTATCATCGTTACCTCTACATCGTTATTCAACACAAAGCTCCTCCTGTGACAATTCCAATTATGTGCACATTAACATGTTTGTTCCTTATTTTATTCTACCGAAATTATTCTACTTTTGTCTTACACGGTAATCTTTAAGTACGATATTTTTCGTATAATAATTTTATTTAATTATATGAGAAAGTCGCCGCGATATTTTACAAAGTATACTTTTTTCATCATATGATTATTTATCGCTCAAAATACACAAATGTATTATTTTTAATTTTCGGTAATTTTCACAATTAGAGTTACGCAATTTAAAGACGAAGAATGAAAGATGGATGAGCAATAATTTCGCGAAAAAAAATATAAAGTGTTTCGGAGCAAAGAGAACCGTATATTAGATCCATTTATAAAGGTCTTTTGTGTCTCGCGTGATCGATACATTTCTATCAAACTTGCATATCGGCGAAACAATTTATCAAGGCCGATGGAATCGAAGGGGAGGTTTACCATTTACCAAATAATAGCTCTATAGTTTGCTAGATTTTTCTAGATAATAGTTCAATAATATCAATTCGATAACTTCGCGCGCATAATAAGAAACATATATGTATATCGATCGGTAAATCTCCTTTATTATTTACACTTCCAGTTACGTTTCTTTAATTAATTATATGATTCTTGATTTGTGCTACTTTCTATCTCCCTTTTATTTCTCGTTCTTCGGAAGGCCAGCGATCAGTGGGTCTCACGAGGCAAACGTGTGCAATCTAATAATATCGTTATTCGATCGAAACATCGAATGCTGAGAAATAATGTAATAGTACATAGTTTGATTTGAAAACAAAGCTGATCCTTGGCCATTTCCCGAAACACGGAGGAGCAAAACATGCACAGCAGTCTTACATTCTATGTATCAATACTTGTCGTCAAGCTTGTAATAAACTGTTTAAATTATTGTAAGATAATTATTGCAAGATCGCAGTAGAGATTTTTTTCTAATTATTCGAATGGGACGACAAATATCAGTTCTAGAATCAAAGGCTTGCAATGACACTCACAAGTTATCATCATCTCTCTTTCGTTTCGAGCCTTCCATATAATACGCATAAGTCACGATGCTCGCTACCAATATCTATTTACATAGTATATGCGTGTATATTCGCATAATTTCGTTTGATTATACGAAAAAGACGATAAACATCCATTTGCACATCTTTATTGATCGCACACGCTAGGTTCGTTTGTATCAAACTCGACCTACAAAGTTATCGAAATTCTCCACGAGACTCGTGACAGACATGGATCATTTGGTTCTTTTATCAAGTACAAAGCGTTAACTGAGTGTAGATGCGCTTTGCTATCGCTTTGTCTCTTATTATCCTATTTCCCTTCCAGCACACAAAGTGGTGCGATAACAATTAATTATTAGACCGTCAATGTTAAACACCACTGATTTCTCAAACATTGACGACTTTAGAGTTGAGTAGAGCATTCCCATCATTTACATTATATGATATGCGTAAAAGTAACATTTTCTCGCATTTTAATGTCGATTAGATCTAGATCGTTTTAGACTTAACACGAAATGCTCTTTTTTCTTTTTAACAATTCTTTTTAATATATTTGCCTTTGTAATAACTCTTTAATTTATAAAAATAATTTTAACACATTTTGTAAATGTTTCGAAAATTATGGTAACAATATCGAGCTTATTATATTTCTTTCTTAATTTTCTCATATTGATGTTTAGAAAATACGATTTAGGTTTGATCTGAACAGTATTTATCTCATTACCGCGACAAATAATCCCTTGGCTTCCTCTCCCAATAGAGAGAATCGAAGTGGTCTGATAAAAAATAATTGCATTTTAATTTTTTTATTGTAAATATACTATGTGAAAAATTGATCTCTTCTCTAAATCTTTTCATTATTTGAACAAGTTACTTTTTACAGATTTGATCGTGTAAACATTATTTATAAAAAAATTTAATATTATATTTACATGATTCACGTTTATATTAATCTAAGATTGTAAATTACCTTTTCTAATAATTGCGAAATTAATTTTAATATTGAAAGAGTCATCGATAGAATAGATATATTTATCGCAAATCACTTCGCTTTTCCAAGTCCGCATTGCAACTCCCCCATTGTGTTTCATTTGGGTAAAAATACACCGCTATGTAGGAATAGAAAAATGAAATACGATGGCATAGGAAACGCCCAACTTATCCCCCGACTTATCCCCCGACTTTGGCTCGATCCCGGAGTATCTCTCTTCTTACGTTGTTCTTTTTGTGTTTTTGTTTTAGCACTGGCAAGGCCATGCTTGCCATTAACAAAGGCTTACAGAGGTCAGTATTTTTTTCGTTACTACCACTACGTTTTCCACTCCTGATTTTTATTTAAATTTTCTGTTGTGTGCTTCGTTCTCTTTCTCTCTCTTTCTCTCTTTACTATCTTTTCCTTCTTCGACTCGTTACGAATTCAATATATCTAAGGTATCGTGCAATCATTTTATTATTAAAGTGAAATTATGGCTGAAGTAATCAAAGTTTGAATTATTTGTAATTATTCATAATTATTACTTGAATTTTTTAAATCATCTTTGTTCAGTCTTACATGGAACATTTTTCAAGAATATATATTATTCAGATTTGTTATCAATTTTTTTCATGCAATCATAATTTCGTAACGGGGTCCCAATATTCTTTGCATTTTTCCATCACTTTTGCATTTTTCACGCCTTTTTTGCTTCGACTTTCATTTGATTCAGTTGCAAACACAATGGTAGATATATTGACGTCACATTTTCTTGAGTTTCGCAACCAAGCTTCCTTAGTTCCCGTCGTTCTTCCACTTATTTATATAGTTGCAATCCTTTAGTAATGATCAAACTGCTGCAGTATTTGCCGCCGCAGTACTTGCAATGGCTATATAAAATATCTTAGAATCGTATTCTGTTTCTCTACCATACAATTTTTGAACGATTTCGAGAGAACGTAATTACAGATTATCGAATTTTCATATCTTTTGATGATAAACAGAGAATTCAAATTTTACGTTTTACTGTCATTAAAAACATAATCTTTTATATTAATAAATAATTTTTTAATATTTTTAAAATTCTCTTTACGAATAATTTCGTCAAAATGAACGATTTTATCTTTCGGGAGTAAAAAAAAAACAAACTTTTGTAGACGTGTAAAAGAGATTTCGGATGCAGATACTTATAAAAGTGTACATATAAATGTACATATTAATAACGAGATAAACTCACACGCAAGCAACGTGATGACGATCACCTCATTTCCTAATCCTCATAATCCTGTCATTTTTTTCTATCCTTCATCATACATACGCTCGCACAATTTACACACATTTACACACACAGAATTAAATCAGACATGTGCACGCGATCGTACAACCATCCGATGCACAAATTTTTGTGTATACGTACGTAAAAAAAAGTACATAAAATTACTTCGCGATAACGTATTAACATACAACGTGATGAATGCATACGTAATTACTGTGGCCTCGGCATTATACTGAGTACTCACCGAGATGTGCCCTGTTTAACGCGGCTTGTGACGTCAAGTAGGTACGTAGATACTTTTTACAACTGTAAATATCCCTTAACATTTATAAGCGCCCACGTAAGGGACGTGTGTACTTCATCCCTGTTTTTTAAAATCTCGTTTGTCTATCGAACAATACTGTCGCACATCCAATAATGAATTAACGTTAACATTTAACTGTAGAATGTCATCCAAGGAACTGGCTTACGTTGCAAGAAACACATTTATCATATCTGTGATCCCGCGCATGTGAATGCATGAATGTGAAATTAATATACCTTTGTCCGAGACTTTGCTTTTTTTTCTCTAAATATATTATGTTATATTCTATATTTATAACAAATGCATGGCTCAAAAGATTTTTCTAATTATAGTTTATTAAAAATTGATATTTTGTTGGCGCGATGTACGTGTATAATTTTCATCTGTTTATATGAAATATGATTGAGTGACATTTCTCTCTTTCTTCGAGATTTTGTGTAATCTTGTTACTTCATTTTTATGTTTCTCCTTTTATATTTACTCATATTTTCATAACTTTAAACAAATCGTTTTGGTTTATTAAAATCCGTCCTTATGTCCTTTTTCTTAAAGCAAATTTTCACGTGTAGAGATTTGCTTATGATTGTTCTGTGTAATTACCATTTACACAGAATGTATCAGAATATAAAATACATTGATAAATGTAACTGTTGAAATAAATGTCGCTCTTTTTTATAATGCGCGCAGGCTATATATAAATGAATTAAATTTATTTGTAGAGTCACAATTAAAAAAAAATAGATGCATTTTTTCCATGTAAAATATAATATTAAAAATGTACTTTTCTTTCGAAGAAACAACCAAATTTGTAAAATATTTATTTTTAATCTGTTTGCATTTATTTTATATATTAATTTACATATTTTAAATTTGCTAATGATGAAAATAAATATTGAGTACTTAATAAAACGCACGTCTTTCTAAACATTTATATACATATACATATGTGTGTGTGTATATAAACGACATTTGCACGCTTACATATCACTTCATTATTTCTTACTTATCACTCACATCATTATTTCTCATGTAAATAATAATATAAAATACGAAATTAGTTGTCACGTAATCTTATATCATTTTTCACCCTTTGCCAATATCATATGTAAATGTCTGCGAAAGTACCGTTTTATGTAAATAAAAATATCGAATATATCACGCGAAATAAATGTTCACATTGATATATTCGCATCTTTACACATTTAATTTCATTGGGATTGCGATATACTGTGCGAGTAGCGTATAATGTAAATCTTGTATAGATTTAACACTCATTTGTTCAGAAAAGAAGACATAGTTCCAGCAAGTACTATTTATAACTTGAACTGAATGGTGCTCAAACGTGTTAAAAATATCTTTCTGCTAAATTTTCATTCTAAACATCCCTCTCTGTCATAAGTATCAAATTTGACAATATAGTTGCAAAAAAGAAAAAGATCTCTTTCTGTTAGTATAATTATAATTTCTACGGAGATTCTTGCAGCCAGAAAATGCACTTTTCGATCCACAGTAAATAAGAAGAAACGTATACTCGAAAAGAAGAACGTTTCAGCATCGTTCGTTCGGTGATTCGTCTCGCCACCGGGGCTGACGATGATCCGTTTAATCATCGGCCCGGCCACCGTGTTCCAGGTACAGTCCGCTGGCGGGCGACCTCCTCGCGAACTCGATGCTGCCCGGTAACACGATGAACGGCGCCGGCTGGTGCATCTTTGTGTACAACCTCGCGCCCGAGACCGAGGAGAACGTGCTCTGGCAGCTGTTCGGGCCGTTCGGCGCCGTCCAATCGGTCAAGGTTATCCGCGACCTGCAGACGAACAAGTGCAAGGGCTTCGGCTTCGTTACGATGACCAATTACGAGGAGGCGGTCGTCGCTATACAGAGCCTGAACGGTTACACCTTGGGCAACCGCGTGCTCCAGGTCAGCTTCAAGACGAACAAGAGCAAGGCGGCGTAGGACGAGCAACAGGCGGCAGCGGCGGCGGTGGCTGCGGCTGCGGCCGCGGCAGCGGACGCGGCGGCGGTTGCGGCGCCGTACCATCATCGTCGCCATCGGCTGCTACGTACTGCGGCGGTGGTACAGCTGCCGATGCCGATGCCGGCGGGTCATCTTTACAACAAGCGGGGACCTGGCCAGATACCGGGCGTTATCGCTGGCAACAACAACATCAACAGTCATCCCTTGACTGCTGGCGGCGGTGGTATCTTTCACGGTGGAGCCAAGGGCCAACGGCAGCCGTTCCTTCAGCGTCTACCGTCCCGCATACACGATCTCACCCGGGCGATCGAGATGGCAGTCTCGGGAGCGGCGAACCCGCAGCAGCAACAGCAACGTCAGCACGCGCAAGCCAAGCAGACCTCCCTGAAGAGCAGCAAGCCCAGCAACAACCGTCAGGTCGGCGGCAAGAAGCTCCAACAGAGCGAGAAAGCGTAGTTGCGAGAAGTGTGTATGTGTGTATGAGAGAAAGAAAACGAGAAGCGTATGCGTGTGAAAATGATGAATGAGGAGAAGAGGTAAAAACATGAAGGGAGAAAGGAACGGGAAAGGTCGCGCGAGAGATAATTAGGAAGAAGTGGGTAGAATCGTTTCGACTGTCCGATACATAATAAACCGTGGAACTGTGCGCGTGGAAAGCTCGAGGGAAAATAGAGAAAGGGTGCGCGGATATTAAACGAGCGTTCGTGTTCTCTCGTTATCCTCTCGTTCCTCTCTGTCGCGTTTCTGCGCTCGCGCTTGGCCGCGATCGAGAGCGAAGATCCTCGGTGTTGCCCACTATTATATTGACATATATAAAATCGAAATTTGACAAGGAGGACGAGAGATCGAAGCCGCGCTTTTGCCTTCGTTTTTTATCGTTCCTCCACGGTACGGACGCCTCGAAAGTAGGAAATTTTATTCCTAATCACCTTCGAGGCGTCAAGTCTCATGATCATTTGACTCGCGAGGATAAAGGGACGATATATTTAAAAAAAAAAAAAAAAAGAGGAACGGAAGGAGAGAGAAACGAAACGAGGCTCGTGTCAAGTCTTACGTGGCCCTCGCACAGTGACCGGTCGCGGGTCCTGTATATACATATTGCCGATTTATATGTATATGTACGTGAGGGCGCTTGTGTGGACCACGTGGTGTCCGCATGCGTAAAATAGACAAGGTGAAAAAGGAGAGCTCGAGGAAAGAGGAAGCGCAAAGACCGAGATGTGAAAGAGAGAGAGAAAGAAAGAAAGAGAGAGAGAGAGAAAGAGAAAGAGAGAAAGAAAGGGCTTTCCCTAATATTATGACATTTGACGATGCGTCGAATGCCTCCGCCGGGCACTTTGGCCAATTTTTTTCTTTTTTTTTCCTTTATTTATTTATATATATTTTTTTTACTTAACGTACATCCATGACCGGATTAGTCACGACGATATCGGGCTGTGAGACTGAACCACTCGTCACAAACACAAGCATGCACACACTCATACACACACACACACATACGTACACATATACGTACACTTAGAAGAACGATCGATAAAATGCGCGACAGTTAAAGAATGGCGGGCTGTCGCAAAAGAACATATTTCGGACTTCTCGAGACGCGCTTACGTGAGATAAGACTCATCGCGGGGAACACGTGGATCACGTGACAGTACCTCGCGCTTCCTGGTTGCGAACGAAATATGAAAGAAAGTGAATGGATGGGAGAGAGCGAAAGGAAGAGAGAGAGAGAGAGAGGGAAAAAAGCAAGCTAGAGGGGAGTATAAAAGAATGAAACCTCAGAGAAACACTCACACACAGTGCTTAGTAGTAGGTGGTTATACATACTCGTTTTATGTATAAGTTTTAGAGAGTATTAGCGTCGTGTGGATGAAAACTGAAGAGAGAAAGAGAGAGAGAGAGAGAGGGAGAGAAAGATAAGAAATACAGAGGGCAAGGAAATTAGAATCGACTTTTTCGCAGAAATCCGTAAGAGCGAGGAACGGGTCTGATTGTTATCGAAGATACCAATTGGTTGACTGTTGAATTAATCGGGTGAAAAAATGGAGGATTTGGGAGGGAGTCGCTGGAAAGAGATGACGTATAAGATATTAGGGCAGGGCTCGCACTCACAGAGTTTGAAAGGGCACGATGTATGTGTACTTTAAGATAAACCTAGTTTAATTAAAAGAGAGATGTTACCTCGTTGATATGACGAGAGAGCATCGAGAGAGAGGAGGCGTATTTATTCCCGGGCCGGGGCTATATTGTATGTGCTCCGCGAAGGTGGCAAGGAGCGATCGATAGACGGCGAGGAACGCGGTTACGAGGAGAGATCGCGATGCGATACCGCGTGCTAATAACTGTGTAAAACACACTTGTGCTAGTCAGTACTCAGGTGGTCTCCATCGTCGCTCGCATGCCGCGGTGATACAACGTGTCGCTTTTCTTTTTCATTTTTTTTTTTCGTAAAACGTACTTATTAGGTAGTAAAAAAAAGAAACAAATGCGCTTTCGCAGAATCGAGTTCAACTCTCGATAACAATTTTCTCCGCGAAGGTGCGCCGTCCGAGAGAACGTGTTTTACGACGTTATGCAGCTTCACGGCTTTATCGATCCTTTTTACAATCTCCGAGAGATTCTTGCGCGCGGTTTCTTGGGACGAGTCTCTCGAGAACTTCTTATCTTTTTGATAGGAATTAAAATTGAAAATTGAAAAAAAATACTTCTTTAATCCTCGCGTATATATTTATAATAATTTTTACTTCACATTTATGATATATGTCAGATAGAAATATTGAGGCGCATATAATCGCTCGAGCATATCACGTTTGATTTTACGCTTTTCGTTGTCGTTTGATATTGCACGTTTCGACGAAAAATATAAATATTGATTATACAGATTATCAATGCAAATTGTTCTTCGAAATAGAAGAAAAGAACATACGACATTCGTCATTTCGCCTCTATCCTGTAAGGTATCGTTTCGAGAGAATAGGTATAGTCAACGAAATATGAAACATTTATGCGCGCGGATTTAATTTTCTTCATATTCTTCGAGGACGGTGCACACACGAGTAATGTGATACACGGATTAATGACAAAATTGGTCAACATTCGATCTCAGGTCAGATGAAAAAAAAAAAAAAATGATTCATCTCTAGTCTACGTGCAAATTAACGCGTCGTTGGTGTCGCAATATTACGTGCTCTCCTCGCGTAAAAGAAGAAGATAAATGTCGGAAGATGCTTGGCACAGCAAAGGTGGGGAAATTAGAGGCGAGCGCGATGACGAGTGTTAAATGAGAACCGATGCGAGACAATCTTCTCACGTTCGCTTCGCGCAATCAGCCTTTTCGAGCGAATAGATTCAATTACGAGCAGAATGACCCGAACAGAATTGTCTGCGAGAAATTTCATTAATATTTATTATTTCTCAAGATTCTGTATGTGTGCATCTCAAGAACATTCTCTAATAATCTGTGAGCAGCTGAAATCGCTTTCCCAAAATGACAATCGCGTGGACAATCTTCGACCGTGTAGAGATCATTTTTCCAAAGTGGATTTCTCCCGCGAGCAATCTGTCGCAGTTCTGCGAAAAATTCTTGACTATATGCATGTCATTTTCGCGAGATGACTTTCGAGGATCCCTCTGATTGCGCGAAACACGTGAGAATGCACTAATCGCATATAATTAATTGCAGGTGAGGCGACACTCGGGCTTAAGGGCTAGAATGTAGTCAAGAAAAAAAAAAGCAAAACGGCGCGTATAAACACATGTATATTCTCTATTTATGTGTACCTTTTTGTGTCTAGTCCGGGAGTCGGGAGAGACGCAACGGAGGACGGAGGATGCTGGGGAGGTGTTTTTAACTTCCTCTCTCCTCGAAAAAAGTCTGTCTCGCGACTCCCACACGCGAGTATTGTGGTTTTTTTCCAAAGATATTGCTTTATTTATTCACGGCCGTCGTCGATTCGCGCGCGAAATCCTTACTTCGAGGAAGGACGCGAGAGTCTCGGCGAGAGGCGGCAGGATCTCGAACATTAGTGCAAATTAAAGCGTCGACGAGCATTTAAAGCGTCGTCGCATATAAGCGCAAACTTAAGTAACTCGCTGATCGGAGGGTGTTCGAACGACGATTGGTCTCCCTTCGTCATACTTATGATTAATTATATTATATTTCGCGAGGCTAATTGTATGGAAAATTGTGTCGCGAAAATAGTTTTCCGATTCAATTGCGATTATTTATAAAAGGGGCGAACAGTGAGTTTTATTCGCGATTTCAGATACACTTTGTGTGTTTTGTCGCGCACGTGAGACGCTATTAGAATAGATACCGACGATTAAATGACAAATGCTGGACATGCATATTAATGCCCACTCGGAAGTGCGCATATATGGTCGGCAGCTATATACATACAAGAGATGAATCGTATCTCGATAGCATCCTCTCGATATCAGCGAGGCGTCCGCTTTTTTTCGGACGTTTCTCTCTTATTGTGTACGATTATATATATATAAATATAAATATATATATATATATATTTATATATTTATATTACCATTATAACAATTATTCTTCTCCTCTTCTCGCTATTGCCGTATTATAATTAGACTTATTATTCTGGTTACTATATTATTATCGCCATCGTCATTGTCTCTCATTATTATTATTAATTATTATTATTATTATTATTATTATTATTATTATTACTTATGATCGTGTATATTTTCTGTGTCTCTCGTCTAGTAGCTACGTGTAACCTTTAACGCCTCATTACTTAATTAATTCTTGTAGAGAAGAGGCTATAAAGAAATACCTTACAGTCGCTCTTCACTTGCTCTCATACTTTAACATCGCTCTACTGTCGCCACTTTTTCTGCCACCCGCTCTATAACTATTACATTTGCTACTACTGCTGTTACCACCATTACTATACTTACCACTTACTACTACTTACCAACTATTTATTTATTTATTTAATTAATTAAAATTATTAAATAACATAACTATTATGTTTTATTTAAGGATTAAACTGATTTGTGTTTGTTCAAACAAGTCGTTTGTTTTATTTCTTATTAAAAATGTTTCAGTTGCCATACACATACACCGGATCCCGATCTCCTCCCGTTTTA